GACTGGGGTAGTACAGCAGTGCTTGTGTCTAAGCTATTATTTAATAATAGCCCAAAGCACAAAAGTAGTGATACTATTGTACTGCAGCATATTGTTATTACTATTCTGTTTTATTATTATTATTCTCAATCTCTTACTGTGCCTAACTTACAAATATAACTTTAGCACATGTATGGACACTTGAGCAAAAGCAGTGTGTAGAGATGTTTGAATTTAGGGGTATCCATAGTGGAGTCTTAGAATGTATCTCTCTTGCATAAAGCGGAGATGAGGTTTAGTGTAACAATATCTAACCACTAGCTGGGACAGGTGGCCTGCATTGAAATGGACAGTCAGGCCTGGGGATGGGAGAAAACTGGCCCACAGGCTGACCTGGTAGGAAAGGCACAGAAGAACAGGGCTCAACAGACTGCTCTGGGATGGTGCTACCCTGGTAGCTTGTGAGTTACATTGCTACTATATAACATAGGCTTCTACTGTCCCCAGTTTGCTGATGGTGAAACTGAAGCACAGTCTAGATAATTCCACTGTCTCAGAGCTGGTAAATTCAGAAGATAGAATGCAACACAAATTTATCTGGAGAGAGGGAGCTCTTCTGCACAGCCCTGCTCCTTCCCAGGCTGGAGGTTCTTTTACTCCCTAAGACCTCCTTTCCTTCTCGCACACAAAGTTAGAGCCCCCCATCACCCACCAACACACACATATACACACACCACACTATACACACACACCACATATACCGCACACAATATGTATACACACCACACACACGCCACACACCATACATACACCACACATATACACAACACAAACCCACCATACACACACACACACACACACACACACACACACACTGCATGCACACATGCACACTCTATCCTGGTGGGGACCTGGGAAGGCAGGAAGATGGTCAAGTCCTTTAATACCACCAAGCACAACACATATTTATGGCCCCAATTACAGCTTTCACTTTCTACCACAGTGAAGGAGCAGGGACAGGGACAGGAATAGTTGTGTGCACTGGGGTCTGAGGCCTCTCTAGCAATAACTACAAGATTACAGAGATGTTAGCAAACCCAGTGACGGCAGCTCTATTATAATGATAAATCTACAGCTTTATATAGAAATAATGAGCCTGGGGGAGGAGAGAAGGGGAAGGAAGAGCAGGGTGAGTTTAGCCAATTGGAGCTCTTGCTGGAGAGGCAGAGGCAACCCCCTAGGAGTGCCCAGGAGACCAGCAGGGTTCTTCTTCATGCCAGTAGGAGGGAAGGCTATGGCACCAGGACAGTCCTGCCCTTGGATGGAATCGATGCCATGAACTCTCTTTTTGTTTCCTGAGACTAGGTTCTAGAATCAGTCGAAGACCTGAGGGCTCCAACTGCCTTAGCATATCCTAGCTGCCTGCTTTTCACTCTCCCACTGAACAGCACTGAGTATTAGCTAGAGGCCAGGGCCTTCTGGGGATTCAGATTTGCAATTAACAAAGCTAGACTAACATGTCAGCTTCCGTCTCACTAGCCTCAAGCTCAATGTTCAGTGTCCAGGAGAAAGCACGACAACAAGGTCAGGCTTTGCTACTTCAGACCAACTCAAGCACCAGGGCAGGGCCCAGCCTGGTTCCATGAACTAGGGCGGAATCTGACTCTCAAGGGAGCTCGAGGAGTTGCTGGCACAGCAACCATGACACTAAGTTTGATCACAGAGTGTCCTCCCAAGTCTCCATCTCAGGGTGCCTCTCTTTCCATTCAACTTGTGGATCACTGAGCCTCCAGTCCAGATTATCTGATCTGACTAGTTAGTCTCCTCACCACCATAGAACAATCTGTATTTAGATCAGTGTCTCTAAATGACTGCACAGGCTCCCTTCTCATCAAGTCTGGCTCTGCCTACTGCCAAAAGATGACTAGAACTTCTCCAGGAAGCCTTCTCAGGTTACCTCAACTCAACTGCAGCTGCTTCTTAACGGTCCTTTCCCTTGCAGGACAGTATGTACTCCAATTGAATTAAGGAAAGCATTGGTCATTCAACAAGAACATTGGGGTTCTTACTTTCAGCCTAGAGGAAACACATAAGAGAAAGTCAACTGTAGACACAGCTGTTCCTGAATCCTCCATTGGGAGACTTTCCAAAACAGAACATGATGGGAGATGTACCTGGAAGACCTGGAGGATGCATGGGAGGGTCAGCTGTAGTGACACTAGGCCACATGGAGAGGGCTTTGGGAAGTTTTGAAAGGATTGGTTTGGACTGGCAGAGAGGGGGCAGACAGGCCTATCTAAGAGAGCCTTTCAGAACCAAGGCAGGAATGTTGAACATGCTGAGGGACTAATCTGGCTGGAGCCCAAAAGCTGCCATTTCAAGCTCAGGACTGAAGTGCAGCTCTGAGGACAAAATCAGGCACAGAAAAGAAATGAGGCCTGGCTGTATTCAACTTCCCCCCTTTCCTTCCCCCCACCCCCTGCACTGGCTACAGGATTTCATACACAGTAAGTGCTCAGTCATTCCCTGTGACTATAGCTTGGGTGTCCCTGGTCCCCAAATAATTAAATTTTCACAGCCAGCATCACAGCACAGGTTGTTTGCACCAGCTTGTTTGCAGCCATCCTCCCTTTCTTGCTTGAGTTCTCTGGGGTTTGAGGCCACTCTCCAGGCCTATGCTGACTGGAGAGGCTTTGGGCTTCAGGGCCCCAGGGTACCCACATGAGGAAGAAGCTCAGCCCAGACAGATGGGTGTGAGCACAGTCAGCTCCATAGCTCTGGAAATGCCTGGTCTGGATTCTCTCTGCTCCTGGCCTGGAATGCATCCCACTACTCTTGACCTGGTTATTTGTATCCACTCATTCCCATCTAGCTCAATCCCTCTCAATTTGGAGAGCTTCCTCTCTGTCCTTCACTCTTTGGGAAATTGTGCACAATAAACAAGATTTGCTGGCCAGCTTTGCCTGCTATGAAATGGGCATTACCAGCCTCTTTGATTAGATTATAAGTTCCTGTGGGTCAAAGAGGCTTCCTTTTGCCCCAGCCCCACACTCACCCTGGGCCCTCATAGTCTTCTTCGCATAAGGAAAGGAAGGAGGGCACGATTTACACTGACTATGGAAAACCTGTCTTTTTTTGAGGCTGCACTGGGGAAGTGGCAATAAAACCAGGGTAGGGGCAGCTGCAGAATTCTAGGAAGTAGGAAGTTACATCCAGGTGAGGGATGTGCTTAGACACACTGTCTATTCTAGGATGAGGCTTGCTTTTATCCTTTTGGGGCTGAAGGCACAGGATAGGAAGGTAGGGACTCTGGTGAGGGACAGAGGTGGTTCCTAGGACCCCAGAGCGGAGCACTACTCCCATAGCTCCTGGACAGCAGCGTTCCTCACCCTGGGCCACAACTTCACCGTGAGAACTGAGCTGCTCTTCTCCACCTATGCAGCCACCATAATGAAGCACCAGTGTAAGAAACCACAGGGAAGATCTACACCAGATGTAACTTCAGAGTGATTTATGTTGCAGAGCTCCTGGGCCTGTGAGGTGCACAGCTGCTGTTGGGCCCGCCCCGTCTGCCTGCCTTGTCTGTCTACTAGCCAGGCTGGCTGTTCATGCTGTTCCTGGGGGTGTCATTTCAAGAAAGTAAAGTTGGAGGAAGCACTGGAACATTGTCAGCTTTAGATATGAGAATGGAATGTTCCAGAGACCCCCAACTGCGGTTAAAAGGGGAACACACCAACCCTTCTCTCTTTAACAACTAGAATGGGACTGTTTTTTCCCAGCATTGCTTCTTACAAATGTTAAATATGGCCTGTCCAAAGGTAGGGTCTGCAGATAGAATGGGGTTGCCTCTGCTACAGATATGACTCAAGAAGTATCCAGAGAGACACACAAACAGCTAGCAGTCAAGACAAAGATACAAGATCAGTAGAACTTGATTAAATTAAACCCCTGCAGACTCTCAGCCGCACAGGTGGGCTCAGAGTTGCACCCTAGCCATACCTGCAGGATGCTTTAAATGGACTTATGAACACAGGGGGCTGAGAATGCATGCAGCCCATGCTAACTAGAGGCTCTGGATATGCCTTTTTAGGTCCTTTGCTTTTCTTAAAAGCCAACTTGAACCTTAGCTCTTTGAAACCTTCCCTGGCTAAACCCAGGTGATTATGAACAGTCCAAGATCAGTCCTTGTGTGTGAACTAGCCTGTTTTTTGGTCCACCTCTCCCATCTCCCAGACTGCAATGAGAGGATGATGTGAGATGAGGACCTCTGTGCTGTCTGCTCTTGGTAAGCAGTTGCAGCTCTCCTTCGGGATATGGCAGCATTGCTTTTCCCTTGCCTCCTCGACATTAAGAATTGCCATGTGTCTTGTTCTGGTTGATGAAATGCGAATGGAAGCGACATGTGTCACTTCTGCCTAGAGGCATTAAGGAATACGGTACACTTTGTCATAGCCTCTTCCTCCTGATGTCTAGCTGTGGGAGCATGTGTTGACATGGGGCCTCTGCTGGATTGAGTTCCTTGATAACAAGGTCTAATAGAAGCCCCGGGTAAGCTATGAAGCATATATAACATGAATGAGAAATGAACTTCTGTTCTCTTAAGCCACAAATTCCTGGGATTGTTTGTTATTGTAGCATAACCTGATTCATACTAACTGACACAGCCTGATCTTGATCACTGATTCCAAGCTTCTAAACTACACTAATGACCACTAGACCCTGCTGTTTGGTTTAGTTTATGGGCCTGATCCAAAATTACTCTTGATCAAAGGGACATACAGTATAATTTTGTATACAAACTCAAGGTCTAGTAGACAGAGAGAGTCAGAATCAAAGATAAAAATTTGCTTCCTTCCTATCCCATTTGGGCAGAGTACAAGGACCTCCCCAGGGTAAGCTGGGCCACTGGGCAGTTTCCAGAGTTCCCATGTGTCTCTAGTGGGGCAGAGGGCTGGAGACATGTCCCACCCAACTCAGAACTGCCAGTACTCAGGCAGCCAAGGGGACAAAGCTGTACTCACACTAGTGGCGTACTGGATGTCCTTCCAGATGGAAGTCTCCCGGGATAGGTCAGAGGCCTCAAAGAGGTTGTCCAGGATGACCTCCCCAATCATGTCATGGCGGGAGAAGCGGTCAAAGTCAAAGACACTGAGATGCAACTTGCGGTCAGCCAGCTCCTCATAGGGCACGGCGAAGTGGAAGTTCTCATCAAAGGTGGGGTTTAGGGTCTTACGGTGCACCCGGGTCTGCAGCTTGCATTTGCGGTCAGGCAAGAGGTAGATCTTGACATAAGGGTCAGAGCTTCCACAAAAGTCCTTGGCAGGGAGGTCAAAGGCCTTCAGGATGCGCACGATCAGAGTTTCAGTCTCGTAGTCATAGCGGAGGCTGAAGTTGATCTTCCCACAGCTCTTGGCAGCTTCCGACTTGGCATCATCCCCATCCACTGACTTCTGCTTGTAGAGTTCTGGCTTGATGCGGCCAATGCTGGTGGGCTGCTCAGCCGCTGGTGGCAGCTCATTGCCATAGTCTACGCTGGAGACATGCATCTGCCGTGGCAGGTGGCGCTTGAAGGACGTGTGCCTGGTGGAGGATAGGAGGAATGGGAAGAGTGTGTAAGGGCCAGGGGAAGGGGGATAAAGGCAGGCCGAACCTTGGTGATTCATCCTTCCTTTTGTGGAGCCCCTTTCTTTCCCTCTTGTTGACCCCATTTTTCCTCTGTATGTACTTAGTGCACAAAGTGGCTGGGAGCGTATGTGTCTTAATATATGTAAAGTAGTTGGAATGGTGCCTGGTATAGAGCAAGCTCAATAAATGTTAGCCACTGTTTTAATCATCATTCTTGCTCTCCTGACATCTGCTTTCTAGGTTTTTTTTCCTAGTAGGCATGACTACTTTTTCCATGAAACCATGAGCCACTTCAAGAGAAGGATCATGCTTTCCACTGCCTTCATCATCATCATCTTCAATATCATCTTCATCATCATCATCACCACTACAATTTATTTAGTATTTGCCATACAGCAGACAGTTAAGTTGTTAAAGGCATAGGCTTTGGAGACAGAGTGTATAGGTTAATTTTGACCCTTCTACTTTGGGCAACTTATATAAATCCACTGCATTACAAAAATTAGGATAATAAGGAGCTGGAGAGATGTCTCAGTGACTAAGAGCACTGGCTGCTCTTGCAGAGGACTTGGGTTTGATTCCCAGCACCCACATTGAGGGTAACAGTCATCCATAACTCCAGTTCCAGGGGATCTGACACCTTTTTCTGACCTCCATGGGCATTGCACGACATGAGTGCACGCGTATACATGCAGACAATACACACAAAATAGAAATAATAAAAGATTTTTTAAAAACTCAAAAATTAGGATAATAAAAGTAGTAAGTGCGTAGAATTGTGCGAAAATGAAAATATTTGCATATAAGATACTTGGAATGAGGCCAAGTATGCAATGAATGACACGTTAGCTCTCATTGTTACTGTATGGACTGTATCGGTTCCTCATAAGAGTTCTTTGCTTTATTTTTATGGTTTAGAAAGACGAGGCCAAAGGTGAGCAACGTGCCTGAGGCCATATGGCAAATTCTGCCCATGGGATCCAGCACCCTGGCGTCCAGTTTGAAGACCAGGCTTCCTTCCCTTTGATTAGTGTCTGGGAGCCTGGAGGATTGTTTCAGGGGTCCAGAAATCCTCAAGCTGCTCAAGTTTTGAGTAAATAAAATGCCTATCCATGTATACCACATCTTTTAAAAAATGTTTCTAAATTTAGAGTAGGTTTTTGCCATCATGTTTGTTGTTGGTATGCTTTTGAATTAAAGGATGCGGTGTGTGTAACTGCTCCCATGAAGGAAACTCAAAATGAATCCTGATTTTCAAAAGGTCAGGACACTCTTGCTTTATCTCCCATTGACTGCTGTAGCTATAAGGCTTTACTACCTAGTCCTAAAAACATGAATGTTTATGCCTCCAGGCCTTTACATATACTTTTCCCGCTGTCTGAAGTCTTTCTTCCCTCAAAACCCCCAACCCAGCTCCAATTCTAGTCTAATACACTTACACTCACTCCCACCCCACATGCCTACCACACACACAGCATCCCACCTCGAAGGTTCCCTTTTCATGAGGCCTATCCTGATGCCCACCTCCTCTTCATTGCCACCACGAACTATAACATCTGATCTAGTCCTTAAAGGACATGTGCTATTATTTCTGGTCCCTCATTCTCAGAGGCTGGAATCTCTCTGACACACTGAATGATCAAAGTGTCAATGTATGGGGGTTAGGAAGGGAGGGGTGTACCCTTCACCTGGTGGATGACGCTGGCTCTGTGGTCTGCCGTTGCAGTCGTGTATGACGCATGATATGCTCTTTGACCGACATCTGCACCTCAGCTGGGATATCTGGGGATGTGTGGCTGATCTTCACAGCTGCTTCTAGGAAGCCCAGGGTACTGGGGTCCTTCAGCTTGTCCGCCATGTTACCTCTGGAGCTGGGGCTCTGGAGGGCCTCTGAGGCAGGGTTAGCAGAAGAGGGACTGGAGGCCTCCTTGTTCCTCCAGGGCATCCAGCACAGCTTCCAAAAGAGAAAGAGAAAAACTGCCACCAGGGCCACGCCACACACAATAACTACCACGGCGAGGAGGCTGACAGAGGTGCCTGCCCTCGGCATGAGCCAGGAAAGGAGGGACAGAGACAGACGAAGGTGGGGACAAGCAGGCGAGGCGTTGGAAGAAGGCGCACACAGAAGGGACAAGACGAAAGAAGAGAGAAGAGCGGTTATGAGAAAAGCTGCTAGGTCATGGGGAGAGATGGTTTTTTGGGTTGACCGTTGATGGTCCATTTTGTAAATTATCTGCAGCCTGTGCTCACCAGTCTGATTCTCCAGCATCATCCCACTCTGCCTTTCACCAGCTTGGGGAGCACCCGGCTGCCTGCCCTACTGCTCTTGGCTTGTGCCCAGGGACAGGAAGGTGATTTAAATGGCAGCCTAAGCAAATGTGCAAATTCCTGAAGCGTTCACGTTTGGATGCTGTTTGAATTTCTATTAGAGCTGTTATTACGGCCAGACTTATAACACCATTTTGCTTTTCTTTTTAATTTTTTGGTACTGGGCATAGAACCTGGAGCCTTACACACGTTAGACAAGGGCTCTCCCACTAAACTATGTCCCCCAGCCCTCAACAATGATTTTTACATACAGCTCTCATCCCCTGCCATCTGAGACCCTGAGGGTAAAGAGTAGAGGCTGGTTAACTCAAGCTTTTCCCTTCCTTGTCCCACCTCCTTCCCTGAACAAAGCCAGTGCTCAATAAACACCCAGCTTTCTTGCAGGGAATGAGATCCAGCCTCATTTTCTTGAAGGCAGACGTTAACTTCTGTTCTCCCAGAGTTTTCTGCATGCTGTAGGCTCAATGAATACTTGTATTAAGTTGGAATTGGGTCCACACGGTATAGGTCAAAGCTAAGCACAAAATACAAATGGTTCCCATAGCCGTCCTCTTCCATTTCTATGGTTCTTTAAGAGCTTTGTTGTAAAGCTGGTATTTGTGAGAACTGTCGCTGAGCTCAAAGTAGGCACTCAAAGCCCATACTCCTCCAGACCTTGGGGTACCCATCTTCCCAGGAGGGTTGTATGGGATGCCTCCAGTGTGAGATAACTGGTAAACAGACTTCCCATTCTACTTCTCTTCCCAAATCTGAAGATGAACTTTTTAAGCTCAAGGCTTCCTTTCACTCTGAGAAGTCAGAGGGTTCTGAACCAGTGGTACACTGGCAGGGTTGCAGTACCATCATTCGTGGATTAGCAAGCAGAGGAGTTTGGTTTGACTGACATCATGAGCAAGAAGCTATGGCATTCCAACACTGCCACTCCCCCAAGATGTCTGGCTTTTCTAGAAGAGGCAGATGACTTGCTAACTGGATCTGTGCAAACTGGATCTGTGCATATTGGTGACTCCCTCTGTAGGAATATATCCCACCAGCTCAACCCTCTACTCTCTCTGTTCTCTGACTAGTCACTGTAGACTGGGAGGTTGCAGCATCTGGATTGGTCACCCAATGTCTTACAAACCTAAGAACTTCAGGTGAGAAATGACCCAATGAGTACCAAGGCTAAGCTGTGCTTTTAAAATGGTACCAGTGGCCCAGAGGAGGGCATGAGGCCACAGTTTGGTCAGTCATAGGACTTGGACCAGAGACCAGGTGTTGAGATCCAGTTCTGTTTGTCCCTGACTAAACTATAGGCTCCTGTAATCCTGTGTTTCCTCTCAGGAACTAGCACAGAAACTGGCATATGGGAATGAGTGAATGAATGAATGAAGGGCACAAAAAGCTACAATTTTTTCTCATTTCCATTAAGTTCAACCAACACTTACTGAGCACTTGCCAAGTTGCCAGGTTACAAGCTAGGCTTGGCTACAGGGATGCCCAAGTGCCTCCAGGTACTTTCACTGTACCCAGTCCCCAAGGAAAGCTGTCCACATCCTGAGGCTCTGAGAAGGAGGTAAGAACCATAACTTCTCTCTCTGGAAGCCAGCACTACTTTCCAGCTCTCTGTTGCAGATACTTTAACTGGATCAGCAGCCAGGCACCTCCAATGAATAGGGAATAAGAGCAGAGGGTCTTCAAGTCTCTGAGTTTCTTCTCACTACCCCCGGCCCCATTCAGCCTGGGCACAGAGATATCAGAGCCTCTCTCTGGCCAAGACCTAGGGTTAATCCTTAGAAACCACCAAGGCTTAAAGGTCTCCAACAGGGTGTGCATGTGCCTCAAGGGATCAAGAGAAAAAACAAGATATTTTGATATTCATTATATTATATAAGTAGTCAAAAATCAATATATAAGTTGATAGTAATGTGAGTACTTTATTATAGGATTTAGTCAATTTAGTCCACATTACTATGCCCAATATGAAAAATGCTTTTTATATATATCCACTCATGTAATCCTCTCCAATCAAACAGATACAATTATTGTTCTCTCTTTGCAGATGTGGAAACACACAAGAAGGTTAATAGATTGCCCAGGTCACACAACCAGTAAAGGGTAGACAGACTCTAGCACCCTCATAAGGCTCTGAATATAACTTTGGTAGAATATGAATATATGAAGGACAAATAAACATATGAAGATACTAACTCAGTTTTCTCCCTGTTATATATTCATGACCTCAATGCCTTGGAGGCTGTTTCTCCAAGCCATTATCTTTCTGGGCGCTCCAGGAAAGCTACTACAGATATGTATGTTCTTATTCTACGTATCTGGCCCTTTCTAGACCCTTCACATTCATTCTCTGATATAACTGTTCTGGGCCCATTTTCTGCAATGAGTCACCTTAAAACAAAAGGTATTTCTAGGGCCTTGCTTTCCTTTGATCATACATTTTACTTGCTCTGGTAATAATTAGAATTTTAATGAGAAGGGAGGGGATAAGGGGGAATCCAGAGAGCATTGAGTGCATTTAAATGTTCAGCCTGACAAAAAAACAAAACCTGAATTCATAAATGAAAAGTGGGGGAAGGGCCAAGGGGGCCTTTTTTTTTTTTTTTTTTTTTTTCAAAAATGAAGGAAGAGAGGGAAACTTAAGCACAGATGCTGGGGTTGAGGTCTGGGTCTATGTAGCTGCTATTTCAATTGCTTCTTCAATTGTGTGACCTCCAGCTCTTGTTCCCTTGGTACTGTGCTTAGAGAAGGCAGAGGATATGGATTATTGGGATCAGCCCCTAGCAGTCGATAGTGGTTATATAAGAACAGGAGGACCATCCGATATCTGGGGAATCTTCTCCCAGACTAGAGGAGTCCAGACTTTGATATCACACAGGAAGGCAATATAAGAATTACGTCCTGGATACTGAGAGAGCTCATCCATCCAGGAGGCATTGGGTGGTAAGACGGCAGGAGCACAATCAGACTGGGGTAGGGGGTGATTGTAGAGGATTTAAAATAATTATAGGAAGCCTTAATTCAGCCAGTGTTCATACCCTAGTGTGTTAGTCAGCAATCTGCCATTATAGCAAATATCTAAGATCACTGACTAAAGAGAAAACATTCATTTTGGCTCACAGTTATAGAGGTTTCAGTCTATGATCTGTTGGTCCCATTGTTTGGGCCCGTGGTAGTATATCATGGCAGAAGTATAAGGTGAAACAAAACATCTTATATCATGGCCAGGAAACAAGAGAGAGGAAGAAGAGGGGGAAGGGATTGGGGTCCTGCTCTCCACTCCAGAGGCATGATACAAGATTTCCATGCCACTGGGCCTCATTTCTGAAAGGTACAATCACCTCTCATGAGGCCTGCTCTGGGAAAAAAGCTTTTGACACATGGAATTTTGGGAAGGCAATAGAGATTCAAACTATGGAACCTGCTTAGAGGCATCAGAGGTGCTCAAGTAACCGTGGACATCGGGTTTGGGAAACAATAGTTGCCAACCATCCAGCCACCTCTAGGAGAGAACAAATCCATGGAACTATGCTTTGAAGACATAACCCCAAGGATGTGGTCTGGAACAGCAAAACCTGGCTGAGGAACTGGATTTCACAGAGTGTTCTGAAACCTGGTGTGCATCTCAGGCAGGCATCAACGTGAGGATGATCACAGAGTACATTCCATCCATGTCACTTTCTGATGGTGTGACCTCCAGCACGTTACTTCACCTCTCCAAACCTTGCACTTAGTGAAGATTACAGGTCTTCCTATCTCCCCAGATCACTGTAAATATCAGATAATTAAGAGTAAGCACAGTCCCTGATACATGGTAACTGCCCCTCCCCCAACATAAGCTGCTAGTATTCATCAGGATTTGGTTTTCTCTTGAGTTTAGTATTATTGTTTGCTGTATACAGAACTGATCCACAGCTAGGCCTCTGAGGCAGAGAAGGGAGTCCCTAGATCAGAGGGCAAAGCATCAGAGGGCTCTCAGACCCCTCTTCCCTCCTGGGAAGTTAAAATCCCCTTGAAGGTCATCAGGGTAAGGCCTGCTGGCCACCTTAAATGAGACTGTCTGGTAGGGTGATGGCCCATGGCCTCCTTCCCCTTCCAGAAATGCTAAGTTATTAATTAGCAGCCCAAGGCTTGCTTATCTTCCCCAGTGACACTTCTTTCTCCAGAGACAGAGCTGGTGTCCCCTCCTCTTTCCTCCACCCATAGTGTTAGGATTCATCAGCAGCTCTTATCACTTGCTATTGTTCCCGTTTTTCTAATGGGCTTCCATGTCAGGAAAATTCATTCTGTAACCATCACAGGCATTCTTGCTAACAGATTATAATTGAAAAGACAAACTAGAGAGAGGAATGGGAAAGAAAGGACAAGTTTCTTGCTCACCCCAGTTCTAGAGAAGCCTGGCTCAGGGCCTGGGGGTACTGCTGAACCTTCAGAAATGCAGGTGCACAGCTGGGCTCTCCTTCACTTCCAGATGGAGACATAGACAAAGTGCAGATCAAAGACCAGAGAATAAGGGGTGCATAGGCCCAATAACCAGAAAGGAACAGCATTTAGTCCAGGAAGAGAAGACACTCTGCAGAATCATTCATATTAATATTAATGATAATATTTCCTATTTATTTCTGTGCAGTAAGCTCTGTGGTTTTTACATTATCTCATTTAATCTACAACCTCCCAAAGAAATTAATATTCACCTCTCAAAAAGAGATATAATG